CTAGGGAGAAATTATTTATCCGGCGGTGGACAAACCTCCCTTTAGTAAAAATCCCTCTAGCGAAAACGGCCTGGGACCGAAACCGACGGACCTGGACCCGCAAAAATGACGGCCGCGACGCCCTCTCGCGAACCGGAAACGGCCAATTCCTTACTCGACGTGTCAGGGTAGGAGTTCTGTCCACCCCCGACTTATCAGGACAAAGAACGGAGGAGGCACAGGGCGGCATGGAGGAGGGCTCGGCGCGAGGGAGACTGAGGGGCGACGTGAGGCCTCCCCCGGTTCCTCCGGCATCCATCCTCCGTCTCCTCCTCGCCCTCCCCCCCTCTCCTGCAGCGCCACGTCGAGGGTCATGAGGCCCGTCAGCGAGATCGAGAGCCCGTGCGAGGGCTGCATGTCGTTCATCTCGTCTATCGCTACCTGCATCGTCGTCACGAACTCCTCGGAGACCTTCTTTAATCTCTCTGGTACCCTCCAGACCCAGAGGAGAAGGATGCTCTGCCGGTCGGCCGATATCATCGGGTTCTCGCCCAGCTGGTGGTGCTCGGAGAACGTGAAGTACGAGTTGACCACGATGCCCGCGTCCGGGTTCGAGTTCTGAAAGCGGTAGAGCAGATCGGAGATCTGCTCTACGATCCCGCGGCTCATGTCCTGGGAGCAACCAAAAGCAATGGCTTTCACGTGGGCTTCCGTGGGTCCGCGCGGACTTCTTAGGCCGACGCCAGGACGAGGAGGAGGAGGAGGAGGGGGAGGAGGACGAGGAGGAGGATGACTAGGAAGAGGAGACGGACGTGGGGGAGGAGGAGGAGGAGGAGGAGGAGGAGGAAGAGGAGGAGGAGGAGGAGCAGGAGGAGGAAAAGGAGGAGGAGGAGGAAGAGGCTCCACTGGCGGCGCGTGCGGCGCCTCGGCGCGCGTGGCTGGCTAGGGCGAAAGGGGGGCCAACCACGCGCTGACGCGGGGCACCCGCGCGGGCCTCGGACAAAACGCGCGGTGCGCTGGGGAACGTTTTCTTACTCGGCGTTGCGACATTGGGCCGACGGGGGGAAGGGGGGGGGTCTGGCTCCGGACCTCTGCTCGATGCTTCTGCTCGCGGCAGCGCGTCCTGTGGAGGAGGCTCCACCTGCCTGAGACAGGCGCCAATAATGGAGGATGACGATTGATAAATGACCAGGGGTCGTGTTCACGCGGCGGCGCCCGGGATGACGATTAGAAAAACCGGCCGCGGGCTGGAAAACTATTTTTTGAATCGTTCTCCTCCAGTCAGAAAATTGTGCAGAAATAACAGAAAACTATGTTTGAGTCGTTCTATCCCATCTTTTTACTAATCGTCATCCCGCATGCACAATCAAGACCTACTCCAAGGAAGGGTGGGGAGGGGGGGTCCGAAGGCCAGCCCCGATCTGCAACACAAGGTTTACCAGCCTGGAACATATCCCTATCCCTGTGCTGGGCACCTCCTCATCACGATGCCAATCTTAGGGATTCCCTTATTTTTTGAGGGCGAATCCCTAAGATTGTCATCGCCTTTTGGCGTGTCGATCCCAGGGATAGGGATGCGTTCGAGGCTGGTAAAATGTATATAAGAAGCGGTCGCCCGCGACCTTTTGCCTCTCCGGTGTCCGTGGCGGCGGACTTGCAGTGCGTGCGGCAGCGGAGGACCTCGCGGGCGGGCCACTGAGACAAAGACAGGGCGAAGATACATTCGGGCGAAGATCCAAAGCAAGAGCCCCCGAGATCCGGCGGCCCAGGAAGATGCATCGGGCGTCGCGGCCTTGTCAGAGCCTTCGGGAACGCTCTGAGAGCGCTCCGGAACACTCCCTAGACATGCGACGCTCAGATTTTTCAAAGCGGGGGCCCTGGAAATCCTGGCCGTTTTCCCGGGACGGGTTCTCATCCTGAATGGTTTTTGACTGGTCCCGAGGCGCGGCGAAGGACCCCCGAGGCCGAAAAGGACCAACAACCTCACGCCCTGATTCTTCACGACGCGATCATGACTGGCTCTGGAACGGATTTAGCGCTCTGAGAGCGCTCCGGAACAGAGGCGGAGGAGGAGGAGGCGGAGGAGGAGCAGAAGGAGGCGGAGGAGGAGGAGGAGAAGAAGGAGGAGAAGGGAGAGACGGAGCAGGAAGAGGAGGCGGAGGAGAAAACAAGGAGGAGGAGGAGGAGGAGGAGAGGAGGAGGAGGGCGAGCAGGAAGAGGCGGAGGAGTACAGGAGGCGCAGGAGGAGGAGGAGAAGGAGGAGGAGGGTTCACGACGCGATCATGACTGGCTCTGGAACGGATTTAGCGCTCTGAGAGCGCTCCGGAACAGAGGCGGAGGAGGAGGAGGCGGAGGAGGAGCAGAAGGAGGCGGAGGAGGAGGAGGAGAAGAAGGAGGAGAAGGGAGAGACGGAGCAGGAAGAGGAGGCGGAGGAGAAAACAAGGAGGAGGAGGAGGAGGAGGAGAGGAGGAGGAGGGCGAGCAGGAAGAGGCGGAGGAGTACAGGAGGCGCAGGAGGAGGA